AGGGAGGAGTGGTAGAGAAGATCAAGCCTCTTTCCCTCTCTGATATTGTCAGCAACTACCCTGACCCAGGGAGTGTAGCACTCACACCATCTCCATGTCCTCCTCTTGCACAGACTGGGGATGAATACAATATAAGCACCCTTGCTCCCTGCTGAGTCACATCTTTAACCTTCTAAACTTCTCAAATTGACACAATAAACAACTTCCCAGAAGGGTAAGAACATGTCAGTTTTACCCCAAGATGCAGAACTGCTGCGTCACTTAGACAAGCCTCTAGACTCTCCAAGTTGATGCAATGCATCAAGCATAACAGTATTTTTAGTTATTTAATTTCAAAAATTTATTTGTTTTTTGTTGTTGTTGTTGAGACAGGGTCTAACTATGTATTTCAGGCTGGTCTTGAAGTCACTGTGTAGTCTAGCCTAGCCTTGTACATAAGGAGAGGCTCTTGCCTCAGTCTCTTAAGTTTTGGAATGAGAGGCATGTGCTTCCGAGACTGGCAAGTATAAGAAGAATTCGTTTAAGAACTATAATTAAGTGCAAAAGAAGTAACATCACTGGTACCCAACACCATTTGTTGAAGGGAAGAAGACACCAGAGGCACCAAAATTCATGGGACATCAGAATCACCTGGAAGGCAGCCTAGGCTGGGCATACTGGACAGGGACCTGGGGTGGAGGGAGGATGTTGGCTCCATCTGGATCGCAGGACTGTTAACATGAGGAATATTGTCCCTCACGGCTTGGTGGAAGTTGTGTGAAAACTAATTCAGTTCGATCACCCTTGTGAATTTTGCACTTCATGACTCCCGTGCAGTGTCCACAGCATCGCCAGGGCTGCATGTTCTCCGTCTACCTCATTCACATCACTTTTAGCCTACTGATGTTCACTGACTCAAATTTGCCTTTCAGTGGCTACAACTTGACCCTGGAGATGTCCAAGCCACCTTGGGGCAGCCAGCAGTTGCTGCCACTTGCCAGGCCCCATGCTCAGCTGTGCAGCACAGGGCTGTGGAGAGTGTCCTTGTCCTTTATGGGGAAACTGTAATAGATGAGGTTGTCATGGAAATCTGAAGACATATATCCCACACATGACCCAGCATGGGAGCTCTTAGGTATTTAATCAAGTGAGCAGACCTCCAGGTAAATGTTCCCAGCTGCCCTCTTCATCACATCCGGGGTTCAAAGTTGACCAGCTGTTGTTCAGTGGATCAGTGGATATCTTACCTCTGTGCTGTCCCAAGAATGGACTATCATCTGGCCACAATAGCCTGCAGCCATCACTGGGGCAACCCCACGTGAATGGGGCAACCCTACCTGAATGAAGCACCCTGGAGGCAGTGGACTCGCGCATTCTGGAAACAGCCACAAAACTAAACAAGGCGGCAGCAAGTGTCCCCAGGGAAGGAAACAAGGGGGAAGGTGGCTGGGAGAATAGCTCCGTGTGCGAACACTGGCCTGGCATGCATGAGCCACAGGCTCCTCCTCAAGACCTAAAAAGGGAAAGGAGGAAACAAAAGGGCAGCATGCTATTGGGGCCTGGTGATCCTGCAGCCTATTGCCATGCACATGAGGAATCCAGTGGCTTTTTTTCTCCCACCATTGGAAGTTACTGAGGACAAGGTGGAAAGCCAAGCCAGGCGAGACAGTGCACCCATGTAACACCAGCATCCTTGGTGGCTGAGACTGAGGATTACAAGTTTCAGCCTAGTCTGGACAACTGATCTACTGGGTGAGACCCTGTCTGAAAAAATAACATTACGAGTGGAAGAGGAGCGAGTGATGGAAGGGGAACGAAGGGACATAAAAAATATTTAAGATGTATTATCTGCGTGCATCAAGTCCCTGTGATGAATTTGATAACTAAGTATGGGAAACATGTAAAAATAAAAAAATGAAAATATTAAACAGTAAAAAGGGCTGGAGATACAGCTAAGCAGGAAGATCCTTCCTTCAAGTCCCTGTATTATAAATGCAAACAAACAAACAAATAAGTAAATAAAATTTCCCTATAGAAGATGAATAAAATTATTATGTATGTCAAACATCTTAATAAATAAAAAACAATGTGTAAAGAAGTTGGAAAATCGGGGGCTGGGGATTTAGCTCAGCGGCAAAAGCG